GAAAAAAAAAAAAAAATCTGGGTGCCAGTGGCTCATGCCTGTAATCCTAGCTATTCAGGAGGCTGAGATCTGAGAATGATAGTTCAAAGCCAGCCTGGACAGAAAAGTTTGTGAGATTCTTATCGCCAATAAACTACTCAGAAAAAGCTGGAAGTGTTGCTGTGGTTAAAGTCCATCATTTGGAGACTGTACTTGAACCAAAGGACTCTAGACTCTATTTATATATCTATATCTATATATTATGAATTTATTGTTATTATAGAGGTGATGTACAGAGGGATTACATGAGTCAGGTAATGAGCTCATTTCTCTTTGTACAGTGTTATTTGTTCCCTCATTATCTCCCAGTCCCACCAACCTGTCTCCACCCATCAGTTGTATAGTTCGTGTTCATCAGTGTCCAGTGAACTCCACTGCTGCACTTTTTTACCCTTTTTCCCTCAAGTTCCGTGACCGCCCCTCCCAAAGACATAATCTTGAATACATTATACATAAAGAACACAGAATCATCCAAAACTAAAAAAAAAAAAAGAAAAAAAAGTTCCCTTGTTTCCATATCTTGGAGTTAGTTTCAGTATGCATATTATTTTAGATAAATTCGAGGAGGCACTTAGGCATTGTGCCTTTGTGTTTCACTCCTAAGAGTGTCTCACTGTATGTGGGCTTCTCGAACTTATCATACCCTAGTGTATTTTAGATCTAACTTCCACAAATCAGAGAACATGCATCCTTATCTCTGTGAGCTTAGTTTACCTCACTTAACATGATTTGTTCTAGTGCTATCCATTTCCCTGTAAATGACTTTTATTCTTTCTAATGGCTGTGTAAAATTCCATTTTGGATCCATTCATCCATTGTGGGCATCTGGGTTGTTTCCACATCTTGGCTATTGTGAATAGTGTGGGAATGAACATGGATGTGCAGGTGTCCTTATCATATCCTGGCTCATGTTTAGAGTGGATGCCTATGAGTGGTACGGCTGGGTCATAAGGAAGGTCTACATTTAATTTTTTGAGGAACCTCCAGACTGCTGTCCAGAGTGGTTGTACGAGTTTACATTCCCACCAGCAGTGCAGTAGGGGTCCTTCCCGCCCCCCCCCCGCCATTCCCTGCCAACGTTTGTTGTTCAAATTCACAATGTTGGCCAATCTAACTGGGGTGAGATGGAATTGCATTTCCTTTGTATCCAGGGATGATGAGCATTTCCCATGTATTTCTTTGCCATTCTCACTTCTTCTGAGAAGTCTCTCCTTAGCTCCCTTGCTCATTTAGTGATTAGTGTATTAACTTTGGGAGGGGTTAGTTTCTTGAGCTCTTTGTATATATTGGATATTAGGCCTTGGTCTGATATATTACTGGTAAAGATCTTTTCCCAGTTTGTTGGATGTCTTTCTAGTTCAGTATGTTTTTAGCAGTGCAGGAACTTTTTATTTTGATGTCCCACTTGTCAAATCTCTCCTGTTGTACCCCTGGGACTCTATTCAAGAAGTTTCTACCTATACTTTTTAATGTTTCTCCTACTCTCTTTTGCAGTAGTTTCAAAATTTTGGGTCTGATGTTGAGGTTTTTGATCTACTTTGAATTGATATTAGTACATGGTAACAAACAGGGATTCACGTTTAGTTTTCTGTATATGGCTGCTCAGTTTTCCCAACACCAGTTACTGAAGAGGCTATTTTTTCCTCCACTGTATATCTTTGGCTTCCTTATCAAATATCAGATATATGGTTTTATTTCTGGATCTTCTATTCTGTTCCATTGATCTTCAAGTCTATTTTTGCACCAATACCAAGCTGGTTTTTTGTTTTTTTAAATCATGGCTCTGTAGTAGAGTTTGAGGTCTGTTATTGTGATACCATCCACCCCCATTTCTGTCCCCTGCCCCCCTGCCTAGAACTGCTTTGACTATTCTAGGTCTTTTGTTGTTTCATATGTGTTTATATTATACTTTTTCTTTTCTTTTTCTGTTGGTCATAGGTTTGAACTGTAGGCCTGGGCACTGTCCCTGTGCTCTTCAGCTCAAGGCTAGTGCTCTATCACTTGAGCCACAGTGCCACTTCCAGTTTTCTGGTGGTTAATTGGAGATTAGTCTCACAGACTTTCCTGCCTGGTTTGGCTTTGACCCACGATCCACAGATCTCAGCCTCCTGAGTAGCTAGGATTACAGGCATGAGCCACCAGTGCCCACCCTTCCCTAGTACAGTGCCTGTACTAGGGCTTGATCAAGGCCTATGTCATTGCTTGGATACTTTGCGAAAAGCTGATACTCTACCACTTGAGACACACCTCCATTTCTTGCTTTTTACTGGTTAATTGGAGACCAGCGACTACCTGTGCTGGTTTTGAACTATTATCTTCAGATCTGAGTCTCCTGAGTAGCCAAGATTACAGGTGTGAACCATCAACACCTGGCATTTTGTTTTGTCTGAAGAGAGGCTCTTGTCCAGGCTGGCTTCAAACTCATAATCCTTGGTTTTGTGATCCTCTTGTACTTACCTCCCAAGTGCTGAAAAGGACTTTTTTTTTGTATTGGTCATTGGGTCTGGGTACTGTCCCTGACCTTTTTTGTTCAAGGCTAGTGCTCAACCACTGAGCAACAGTTCCAATTCTGCATTTTTTGGGGGTTAAACAGAGATAATAGTCTCACAGACTTTCCTGCTCAGGCTGGCTTTGAACCGTGATCCTCAGATCTTAGTCTCCTGAGTAGCCAGGCATACAGGCATGAGCCACTGGCGTCCAGTGCTTTCATGTTCTTAAAGACAAATCTGGGTAGATCTGGTTTACTCTACCAAGACCTTCCATGGATCCTGCTCATAGTTCTTGGGGTTACTGTCTGTCCTTGGGTCACTATCCAGGTTAGTCCTTGACACATATTTGTGAACACAGATGTACATAATTGATAATAACATTGATTGCTAAGTCTTAGGCACTATTTCCAATCTCCTTAGGCTTCGACCTTTGACTTTGTACACAAATTCAGGACAATGGTAATTGCTTTGCTGGATTGGTGAAGTATATGGTACAAAAAGTGTTTATTCCTGTACTTCCCACTTCATGAAGAACACTTGCCTTTGAAAAAATATGGAGGGGCTGGGAAGGTGGTTCAGTGGTAGAGTGCTTGCCTTGTATACATGAGGCCCTGGGTTCGATTCCTCAGCACCACATAAGCAAAAAGAAAAAAGCTGGAAGTGGCGCTGTGGCTCAAGTGGTAGAGCGCTAGCCTTGAGCTGAAGAGCTGAGGGACAGCACCCAGGCCCAGAGTTCAGGTCCCATGACTGGACCCCCCCCCAAAAAAAAAAAAAAAGAAAAAATATGGATTACTTCTGGACACCAGTGACTCAAGCCTGTAATCCCAGTTACTCAGGAGGCTAAGATCAGAGGATCATGGTTTGAAGCCAGGAATAAAAGCCAGAGTGTCTCCATTAACTAACAAGGATTGGCTCAAGCAGTAGAGTACCAGCCATGGGTAAGAAAACTGAGAGAGAATGCAGGGCCCCAAATTCCAGCCCTGGTTCAGGCACACACAAAATTACGGATCCCTAGCCACTCATCTTCCCCAGTCAGTCTTATTTGGGGATGTAGTATAGGAATCTGCATTTTAAATAAGCACCTAGGTGACTGAGAAGTGCGACTCAAAGAGCAAGCTTGTTACGTTGGCTGGTGCTACACACCTGTAATCCCAGTACTCAGGAGGTTGTGGCAGGTGGCCAGCTGGGGCTACAATACAGCTTCAGTCCCCATCACTTACGGTATGTGTGTTTTGGGTAGTGAGTAGATAGACAGTCCTATCCCTCTGTGACTAGAGGTGGCATCTGCAAGAGGTGAGGGGAAAACAGGAGTCTCTTTGGTAAGTGCTCTCACAAGGGGTAGACAGACCTGGGGATCAGGTTGTCAAAGGAGTCCTGGCCCTTATTTTATTTTTGTCAGTTGTAGGGCTTGAACTCAGGGCCCTGTCCCTGAGCTCTTTTGCTCAGGGCTAGAGCTCTACCACTTGGGAGTCACAGGATCATTTCTGTTTTTTTTTTTTTTTTTTTTTTGGTTAACTGAAGAGTCTCACAAACTTTCCTGCCCGGGCTGGCTTTGAATCGAAATCCTCAGATCTCAGCCTCCTGAGTAGCTAGGATTTGCAGGTGTAATTCTAGGTGCTGGCTCTGCAGCAGCCAGCACCTGGCTCTGTTCTTCATCGTAGTGTGGTTTTGCCAGGTGGCATCTGTTACTGCAGAATAATCCCCTGCGACTGCGTGGCTCATGACTAAGTCTTTATGGAGATTTTGTATTTTTCCAAACTCTGCTGGTAGAAACTGAGTTAGTGATCCTTGGCCAGAGTGTGGGTAGTGATTGCGTGGGTTCCACATGGGTAAATAGGGCCGCAGGTGGGTGTTCAATCAGGCAGAATCACCTACACAGGGCAGTTTACTCAAAGGACACCAGTGCATGCCAGGAGCAAGGTCCCTATCCCTCCCTGCTGTCTGTAGTTCTAGGCATGCTCCTAACCCTGGTGCCAGTGGCTTACATTGTAATCCTAGCAACCCAGGGGGCTGAGAGGGTTGAGGTTCAAAGCCAGCCCAAGCAGAAAAGTCTGTGACACTCAGCTCTAATTAACCACCAAAAAGCTGTAAGTGAGCTTTGCTCAAGTGGTAGAGCACTACCCTTGAGTGTTAAAGCTAAGGAATAGCACCTCAAGCCTTGAGTTCAGGTCCCAATGTGGGTGTTTTTTTTTGTTTTTTAAAAGAGGTCTGCTCCTGTCCTGATTCAGGTCTGGGAGCTGACTGAAGACCAAGCAAAGGATGCTGGGATGGGGTGAGGCCGGGAACACAGGAGGGGGCAGCTGCCTCTGGAAGCAGCCAAATTGTTCCCAGCTGCAGCTGGGATGAGGAAAGGATTAGGTGACAGTTCCCTAACCCAGCCCGGAACTCACCCCCACCCCCCACCATGTGCACCTTAGTCTGCCTCCCTCCAGGCCTGCCAAAGCTCAGAATAACCCAGAGTCAGACGGCAGGATGGCCAGGACTCAGCTGTGCGTCCTGCTTCTCTTGGGGCTTATTGGTAGGTAGGGACAGGGGTCAGGGGAGGCAAGTGGACACATAGCGTGAGTGACAAGAAGGGGCCAGGGTAAAGCAGCAGCCTGCGGCACAGTGCTGGGTTCCCAGGTGCGATGTAGTTGATTGCAAAGACAGACTCAGAAACGGACTCAGTGCTTCTGTGCAGAGGGGCAGAGAGGAGAGGCCTTCTCCGCTCTTCATGTCCAGGGAGCTGCTTCTCTTGACTCCTGGCAGGCAGAGGTTCCGGGAAGAATGAGGAGGAGAGTCTTTATCACCACCTCTTTGACAACTATGACCCCGGGTGCCGGCCTGTGAGGGCACCGGAGGACACGGTGTCCATCACCCTCAAGGTCACCCTGACCAACCTCATCTCACTGGTAAGATGCCCCAATCCAGAAGCTGCAATCCCACAGTGGGCTGCAAACCCTGAGCTTCACTCTAATGTTTCCTACGGGTCTTGAACCCCCGTTTCAATTGCCCCCCTCCCTCCTGAGGGTAGAACGAGAAGGAGGAGACTCTCACCACAAACGTCTGGATTGGAATCGTGAGTGGGATGTGGGAGCAGTGTGGACCCTTCCCCCTCCATTCCTCTTGGGAGCCAGCTGGTGGGGGGAGGAGAGGCCCAGCCCCTCTGTCCCCCAACTCCAGGACTGGCAGGATTACCGACTCAACTACAGCAAGGACGACTTTGGGGGCATAGAGACGCTGCGGGTCCCTTCGGAACTCGTGTGGCTGCCAGAGATTGTGCTGGAAAATAAGTGAGGACTGCTCAGAAAGCCAGGATTCAGGGAAGCCTTGGAGGCGGCGGCTGGGTTAGGCTTGGTGTGGGGCACCGGGCTTGGGGGGTACTTGGATCGGGGTGAGGACCTTTTGTGAAAAGCTCCGTTTCCCGAACCCACAGTATTGATGGCCAGTTCGGCGTGGCCTATGAGTGCAACGTGCTGATCTCGGAGGGTGGCTACGTGAGCTGGCTGCCCCCAGCTATCTACCGCAGCACCTGTGCCGTGGAGGTCACCTACTTCCCCTTCGACTGGCAGAACTGCTCGCTCATTTTCCGGTGGGAAGAGTTACTCAGAGATCCCAGGATTAGAAGAGCCTGGAGCAGGGGGCGGGGCCAGATGGGGAAGTGGGATGCCAGGGTGGACCAGGGGACCTCCTTCTAATCAATTAGTGGTTGGAACCAGGCTGAGAGGCACTGACCAGTACTTCCAGCCTGTAGTCCCAGTTTAAGTGTGTGTGTGTGGGGGGGGGGGAAGGGTGGTGATGGATTGGAGGGAGGAGAAATCACTTGAGGCCAGGTGTTCAAGAACCGCTTAGGCTGGTTTTGAGGCGTTATCTCAAAACATAGGAGCCCGGTCCTGGTGGCTCACCCCTGTAATCAATCCTAGCTACTCAGGAGACTGAGATCTGAGGATCGTGGTTCAAAGCCAGCCCGAGCAGGAAAGTCTGTGAGACTCTTATTTCCAAAAAACCACTCAGAAAACCAGAAGTGGCACTGTGGCTCAAGTGGTAGAGTGCTAGCCTTGAGCTGAAGAGCTGAGGGACAGCGTTCAGGCCCAGAGTTCAAGCCCCACGACCAACCCCCCCCCCATAACTTAGGGATGTTAACAGGTGTATAGACAGGGCCTTATTATCGGGCCAGATCCGGGCTTCAAGGGTGGGCCGCAGGCAGGCCCCAGGCCTGAGGTTTTGCCATAGGAACCCTGGCTCTGGTCCCACAGCTCTCAGACCTACAATGCCCAAGAGGTGGAGTTCATCTTTGCTGTGGACGACAATGGCGACACTATCGACAAGATTGAAATCGACACGGAGGCCTTTACTGGTGAAGCCCCCATATGCCCCCAGACTTCCCCCCCTCTCTTTACACAAGCTCCGGAGGGGCCTTCCAGAATAGGGTGCCCCCCCCCGACCATACATACCGAGGTCTGACTGCAGCAACCCGGCTTTAGCTGGTCCCTTTCTAAAGTCCTCCTCGGCTGTCACACGTGTCCTGTCTCCTCTCTTGTCTGGCTGCCTGAAGGCCCGGGGCCACGGTGGTGCACCCAGCCCCTTCTCCTCCTGAGGATGGGGTTACAGGCTTCTGGGTCAGGTGTGAGAGCGGCCAGACTGAGCCCCATCCTTTCTTGCAGAGAACGGGGAGTGGGCCATCGACTTCTGCCCTGGGGTGATCCGCCGCCATCAAGGAGACTCGGTTGACAGCCAGGGGGAAACTGACGTCATGTACTCTCTTATCATCCGCCGGAAGCCGCTCTTTTACATCATTAACATCATCGTGCCCTGCGTGCTCATTTCGGGCCTCGTGCTGCTGGCCTACTTCCTGCCAGCCCAGGGTAAGAAAGGATCCCGAACTTGAACCCCAACTGGCTTCCAAGGCCGGGGCTGGGTCTCACCAGAGGCTTCTTGCAGCCGGCGGCCAGAAATGCACGGTTTCTATCAACGTCCTGCTCGCCCAGACTGTCTTCTTGTTCCTAATTGCCCAGAAAATCCCAGAGACATCTCTGAGCGTGCCGCTGCTAGGCAGGTAACTGCAGGGCGGAGCCCGGAGCTGCGGAGGCGGGGCCGAGGCCAGGCAGGGGCGGGGCTCTGCGGAGGGGGCGGGGCCGAGGCCAGGTGAGGACGGGCGCCAGTAGGGGCGGGTCCTGCGGGGCGGGGTTGAGACAGGCCGTGAGGATGAAGGGGCGTGGTCACGGGGGCGGGGCCTGTGAAAGGCTGGGGGGTAGGGGCGGGGCCATGCTGGCCGGAGTTGTAGCCAGGGGCAGCCCGGGTAGAGGTGCAGCCGCGAATCAAGAGACTTGAGGAGGGCCTTGGGCGGACGTTCTTTGTGGGGCTTTATTTGGATGCGGAGTGGGGCTGGGACTGTGATGGAGTCTCTGCTTCTTCCTCCTCACTGCTGCTGGACAACACCTCTGCTGAAGATGTCTATTGAGGGGACAATGTGGCTTAATGTCTCCCCAGCGCCCCTCCCCTTTACCATGGCTCCGAGGGCACCCCCTCCCCCCCTCCCGAACTCACCGCTTCCCCGGGGATTCCAAAGCCCAGCTGGCGTCCCCACTGTTCCAGGAGTGTGGCGGATCCCTGCAGACTCCGTCTGTACAGGCACAGCCACGCGCCCTGCACCATGAGCCGGGCGCTCGCGCCCGCGGCGGCCCCCGCTTGCCTAGCCCCCTGCCCCGCAGCCTGGGCTATGCGGGTCAGCGCTCCGGCCGGGTTCCCGGCGTCTGGGGCCAGGCTAGAGCAGCTGCCACTGCCGTCCAGGCGCCGCACCTCCTGCTGTAGCCACAGGGCTGAGATCTGCATGGGGAGGGGGACAGGGCCGGGGAAGTGGGGTTCCTGCCTCTCGCTGCCCCTTTTTCTCCCCTCCCCTCCGTCCCCCCCCTTACCTCTAATAAGGTGGCGCCGAAGCTCACGATGCTGGCTGCTGCCTCTCGTAGCACCAGCCTTAGGGTGGGCTTCGGGGCGGGCGGCGTGGGCAGCTCCTGCGGCTCGCGTGGCTCCTGCGGCTCAGTGGCGTTGAGCTGTTTGAACTTCTGCTCCAGATATTCGTGAGCGGCGGCCACGGCGAGTTCCAGGGAAGACAGGAGCGGGGACTGGAGGGCCACCTGCGGGAGGACCAGGGGTGGGGAGCCTTGGGGCGGCGTCTCCAGCCGCTCTGCGGCCTCACCTCGGTGGAGCTGTGGAAGTTGTAGACCCATAGCAGCGTTTCCAGGCTGCTGGGGGCGCCCTTCATGGCTGCCACAGATGGTAGGGAGGGCAGAGGGGCTAGTGGATGCCCGGGGCCTCGCCGAGGGGGACCCTGAAGGGCCGTATCACCACCACTTGCGGAGGGGGTGCGTTTGTGAGGTCAGAGGCTCGCACCAGCGTCTTTATTGGCTGTGACGTCAGAGGCGGGGGTGCCGTGACGTCACGCACCCCGGACTCCCCAGGTATCTCATTTTCGTCATGGTGGTCGCCACGCTCATTGTCATGAATTGCGTCATTGTGCTCAACGTCTCCTTGCGGACACCCACAACTCACGCCACGTCCCCGAGGCTGCGCCACGTACGGAGGGGGGGGGGGAGGGCGCGGAGGGGCGGGCGGGGGGCGGGACCTCCGGTTGACCCCGCCCCCGGCTGCAGGTGCTGCTGGAGCTGCTGCCGCGGCTCCTGGGGTCGGGGCCGCCCTCCGAGACGCCCGGCGCCGCTTCGCCGCCCCGGCGGGCCTCTTCCGTGGGCATACTGCTCCGTGCGGAGGAGCTGATCTTGAAGAAGCCGCGGAGCGAGCTGGTGTTTGAGGGGCAGCGGCACCGGCACGGGGCCTGCGCCGGTGAGCCGCGCGTCCCGGGCCGGAGGCGGGGGGGGGGGGAGGAGGGTGCCGCGGCCGAGGAAGCACTTCGTGAAAGGCCGTGTCCCTCCGCCAGCGGCCCTCTGCCAGAGCCTGGCAGCCGCAGCCCCCGAGATCCGCTGCTGTGTGGACGCTGTGAACTTCGTGGCCGAGAGTATGCGAGATCAGGAGGCTGCCGGCGAGGTGGGCCAGGAGCCAGAGGCAGGGGCCGAGGGCCGGGAAGCTGCCCCGTCCTGGGACTCAGCCTGACTCTCTTCCCCAGGAGGTGTCCGACTGGGTGCGCATGGGAAAGGCGCTGGACAACGTCTGCTTCTGGGCCGCCCTGGTGCTTTTCAGTGTGGGTTCCGCCCTCATCTTCCTTGGGGGCTACTTCAACCAAGTGCCCGATCTCCCTTACTCGCCATGCATCCAACCTTGAGCCTGCACTTGCCCCGGTGTCAATTCCCCTTACCCAGGACATAGATTTCGAAAAGCTGAATTATAATCCCTTGACAATGAATTTGTTTTGCGAACTTCCCCCAGAGATTGCATGTGCCACTGTGGTCCCGTAGGGGGTGCATGCCGTGGGTAGGCCCTTGGTGCCAACCCTCCAGAGAGCAGTTTGCCCTCACTTCAGCTCTGTAGATCTCTGCCTTTTTCTCTTAGCACAGTGACTCTCTAGACCTATGAGCTTTTTAAGTGATCTTTATCCACTTGCTAGACAATAGAATAGTCCCCACAAAGTGAGGCCTGGGGAGCATCCACAGCTTCTTTGGCTTTATCTTGTTGAAGGGGAAGACCGTTATAGGTTTAGGGCCCGGATGTCCTGCCCTTCCTCAATCATGACACCTAAGTTTTCTGGGCCCGGCCTCATACATCTCACCTCTATGAGTGTAATCACTAACAGATTACACACACAGTGCTCCTGTCCCAACTCCTGCTGGCTCTCCCTGACTCATACCCAGTATTGTGAAAGAAAACACAATAGCTGGATGCTGGTGGCTCACGCCTGTAATACTTGCTACTCAGGAGACTGAATCTGAGGATCATAGTTGGAAGCCAGCCTGGGCAGGAAAGTCCATGAGACTCTTAAATACCAAAAAGGCTGGAAGTGGAGCTGTGGCTCAAGTGGTGGAATGCTAGCCTTGAGCATAAAAGCTCAGGGATAGAGCCCAGGCCCAGAGTTCAAGCCCCAGAACTAGTAACAAGAAAAAAGAAAAAAAAATACAATAGTAAGAGGCCTGAAATGGTGGGAGCTGGTTGAACTGTCTTTATTAACAAACGGAATATCCAAGGCCACTACATTGAGGGGGGTCAGGGGAAGAGAAGGGCTACTTGCTGCTCACACTATATACAGATGCAAGCAAGGGGTTGTGGAGGGCAAGAACTCCCTGTTCCTTCCCCTCCCCCCTACCAGGAAAGGGGAGAGGCTAGGAGGATGGGGGCTAGAAAGGGGAAATGTTTTGGCTGGCAGGGTCTCCCCTCCATTCCCTGGGGTTTGGGGAGAGGGGAAATCATTAAAGTGCTTTCAGAAAATGAGGAAATGGTCCCTGCCCCTGGAGTGGCTGGTGACCCCCCCTTAGAATCTAGGGCCCAGTGACCCCCCCCAGAGTCTGGTACATTCAAGGGGGGGAGCCGGCTCCCTTGTCGTGCAAATAAAGGGGTCCAGAGCCCTGCCTAGTCAGCAGCAATGGATTAAGGGGTCCAAGCCCCAAGCACTCTCCTCTTAATTAAAGGGGAGAGACAAGGCCCATTCAATTCCTGGGAAGGGGAGCTGTGTCCTTCCCCAGAAGTTGGGGACAGGCACAGTTTTGGGGAAAGAACATTTTGGGGAAGAGGATGGTCACGTGATCACAAAAGCATCGGGGATCAGAGGTCACGTTCCCGGCAGGCTCCAGTGAATCAAACCAGTAAAGCAAAAGCCCAGGGAGGGGAATTAGGGGCAGCCTGGGAAGTTTGGCTGTTGGAGAAGAGCTGGGTCCAAGTGGAGCAGTCCCAGTACGGGGCCCATCACCAGTTCATGATGCAGTTACGGTTCAGAGTCATGAAGTAAACTTGGCTGCTGCCCCCGGAGCGGACTGAGGCAAAAAACACCTGGTTGGGGTAGAAGAAGCCATCACCAAGGGATGGGGGTGAGTCTCAATGAACAGAGAAGTGAAAGAAACCACAGAATGGGACAAGAGGGAGATGAGGGAGGCTGTGATTGTGTACTGTACTAAGACACCAGAACCGTCCCTTCCTACAGATCTCTGAATAGACCCCAGGGTGGTAGGAGCCAGCCTGGTACAGGGATTCAGGCCCTTCTAGCAGAGCCTCTCACCTTGTCATTCCGCTCACACAGGAACTTGAGCCTCTGGGCTCTTTTGTGCATAAAGACCCCATCCAGGTGGCCTGTCTCCACAGAACGGATCTCAATGGCTTTCTCGCCCCAGCCCATGATCTGGTTGGAGCAGATGTAGGCTGTGGGGAGAGGGTAGTGGAAGGGTAAGTAAGCCACTCCTGTGTCACCCTAGGGATGGGCAGCTTGGAGGACACCCCACACTCACCCACAGAGGTGGGCATCTCTCCCCACTGTAGCACCACATCCTTAATGATCCGTCCGTACGTGTTGACGTAAACGCCTTCATCCTCGTAGCACAGCAGCATCTCCATGCCATCAGTATTGGGGAGGAAGATGATGGCATGGGGTGTGATCTGGCTCTGGATCTGAGGAGGACAGGGCAGGCTGGGGTCTCTGGTCTAGGAACCCAGACTCCCTGGCCCCACTCTCCTTGCAGCCCTGCTGAGCTCACGTGCACTGGGATGTAGATGTCGTAGCTGTTCCCCGAGTCGACATCCACAGCATGGAAGCCAGCGCTGGAGCCGTAGATAACCTTGAGGCGCTGCCCCTCCTCCACCGTCAGGTCCACCAGCAGTGGGCGGTGAGGGAGGTCAGCAAAGGACTGTTGAGGAGAGAAGGGATCAGGGTGGGCAGGTGGAGAAGCAGGACCTTAGAATAGAGTTTAGGAGTTGAGGCTAAGATTACCTTGAAGGCCATGAATTTGTGGTAGGGTTTAGGGGCCCAGGCATACACCTCCACAGAGTTCTTCAGGGCAATGACGAGGAACTTAATGCGTTCGTACTTCACTGGGGGCAGGAAAGAAGAGGGATGTGGGGACTCCCCTTTCTTATGCTGCAGGTCCCTTCCCTAGGTCACCCCAGCCCCAGGCCCAACTCTTGGACTTCAAGGCTTTGCCAGCATTTAGCTCAGGCCCCCAGTGACATTCTCACCGACACGGTAGTGCCCACAGCCCTCCATGTCCCCCACGGTGGTCCAGCCCTGCTTCTTCTCCACCTCTGGGTCATTGTGCAGAATCTTGTTTCGAAGCCAGGACAGGTAATATACCCGAAGTTTGTTCCTCTTCCCTGAGAGATGGACACACAGACACACGTACACGTACACACGCACATGCACACACACACACACACACATACACACACACACTCCCGTCCTCATCGAAGGCCCAAGCTGCCGCCTCCCCCACCCCTACACACCACTAGGGGTGAGAAAGCTGTCCCACCTTCTGTCTTCTGGACCAAGGTTGCCCTCCTCCCAGGCTGAAGACAGCAACAGAGCCAAAGGGCTGAGCCCCAGCCCCAGCCCCCACCCACATACCTGAGATGGTGATGAGCAAGTTGAGGCCTTCCAGTACATCCATTTGCTGGAAGCGTCGCCGCCCGATGAGTCCATACACCTTGCCCTGCCCACTGCGGTCCAGTAACATCAGCCCATTCTCTGTGCCCACCAGCAGGTTGACTCCTACAACAGGAGCCCTTTGGTAGGTGAGAGGGAGAAGCAAGCCTTTACTCACTAGACCCCTCTCCACCTTCCCAGCCCCAGCTTACCCCAAAGGGCCGCGCAGAGGATCTCCGAGTTGAACCGCTTTTTGTATTTGCGAATCTCGGGTGTTTCGCTGTGAGCGCGGGTGTTGGTGGGATTCACATTCACCACAGAACCCTTCCTCACGTCGTACTGCAGCTGATCCAGCCGACTACCATCGCCCACCAGGGCTAGGAGGAAGAGGAAGGGGGGTAACCTGCAGTTCATTCAGCTATCTCTCATCTACCCTAAGCCTCTAACATCTGATCTTGGTGTCTCGGGATAATCAGGAAGGAAGGGAAAGACTGGAGAATAGGAGGTACGGGGAAGAGATGAAAGAGCACTGTGGGCTCAAGGCGAAAAATGCCCGATGACAGTCTTGGCTTCCTTTTACACCCCCTCCCCATCCAGTCTGGGAAGGCCTTCTCTTGCACCTGTACCAGGGAAGGAGCTAAGGCCCAAAAGAAAGAGCTCATCCTCAGAGACAGCTGTGCTCCCCCCCAGGCCCGCTGTGAGCCAGGCAGGCCTCACAGCAGCTGTGTCCTTACCTGTGATGGGGATGGTGTCCCCAGTGCCAGGCTGGTAGATCCCTAGATCCACAAACATTGTGAAGGAGCTCTTGCCAGTGGCCTTCACCAGCCCTCGAGACTGGTACTGTGGGAGCAGAGAGAGGCAGCAGTCAGGCGAATAACACGATTCCAGGTCCCCACTGAGCACATCTCAGGGCCCCAGCAAGCCCAGGCCTCCTGCCCACCCCGAGGGCTCTCCTCTCACTCCAGAGACCTGTACCAACCCACTCACGTCACTGCCTGTATCCTTTGATGGGGGGCTTTGGCCTTTGCTGTTCTCTGTTGGGGAGTGGCTGGGCTGGACCACATCAGGCAGGTTTGTGTAGCCATTGCTATCAGCATGCAGCAGGCTCCGCTCCTCCTCAGGAGTCTGAACAACAGAGGGAAGGGTTAGCACAGGGTCTTCAGAAGGCACGCTCAGGTACGGGCAGAGGCAAGAGGGTCCCACTTACACGCTGGACCACCATGGTGCCACCCCCATATGGGGCCTGGGTCCCGGACATCTCCTCGACATCGTGAACTACCATGGTGCTGACACTGTCTGTGTCTCCATCGCTGCTGTGGAAGAGAAGAGGGACCTCCAGGTTCTGCCTGTCACCCAAATGCCACAGAAAGCACATCACAGTGACTTGGGCTCTCAGCATAACTGAAACACTGCTCAGCCCTCCATGAATGGAGGGGGGGGTTCCCCATGTGGCACTTAGAGAAGGCTGGTGCAGAGACAGAGCATCTGCAAGGGCCTCACCATCAGCAGAACCGTGGGAGAGGTGGAAAGCCAGCACCTCCCCATTTTCACACTTGCCACAGCTGGAACGTAACCCCTCCTCCACTGTTCACCTCTGATGCAGGTGGGCCCAACCCCAGGATGCCCCTTACCGGCCTCCAGGAGTATCTCTGCTCCCCTCTGATGGTTCACCATCGCCTTCCTCTTCATCATCTTCACTGCTCTCCACCTCCTCACTGGAGGATGAATAGTCCATGGCCTTCTTGGGAGGCCGTGGGGCCTCGTCCAAGGTCCGTTCTTTCAGCAACACAAAATCCTACAGGAGAGGAGAGGTTTGAGGGGAGCCAGTAGGGCTCAGGTACAAGGCAGTACAGAGGGGACCAAGAGACAGGAGAAGCTCCCACAGCAGCCCCGCTCACTAACCTCACCAATTGCTCGCTTATAGCTCTGGGAGGGGCCACAGGGGGAGAAAGGCAGCCAGGAGGAGGCATAAGAGGTAAGAGAGGTTAGTAACATGAGACACGTTGTCACGATCCCCACAGTTCTCCTGTTGTGTGCATTAGTGAAGGTCCCATCTTTGGTACCCAGTGCCCACCCCAGGGCTCTGGAGGCTCCACATGCTGCTCCGGCCCCCCCACCCGGAGAATGCGGGGCTACGCCTGCCACCAGATGACTCACTGCGGGCCGGCCTGGCCGGGAACGGTGGTCATCAGGCTTGGCTTTGTTCCCAGGGGAAAGCACTGGGGAGGAGCTGTCCAGTTTGGTGGAGGCTGGCCGTGGCAAGGTGGGAGAAGGGAGGTCACTGGCACCTGGAGGGGGTGGCCTGCCCATACCCTAGCTGGTCCTGTGGCCCTGAGCCCACGGCCCAGCACCACGTTCCATGCCCGCCCTGGTCTCCCTTGCCCCTCTGCTGTTTTGGCCCACAGCCACCAAAGACAGGGCCCGTCCAGATCAAGCCTGGGTCAAGGGCCAGGCCAAGGCACAGCCCTGGCTCACGTACTTCCCACCCGGTTCCGGTTTCGCTCCAGCGAGCCAGCCTGGGGGAGGTGTCCATGAGAAGCAGGCAGAGCACTGTCGGGGCGCTCCCAGCCAGGGTCGCTCCTCCTGAGGTCAGGGTTACTGGAAGGGAGCAGAGCGGAGGGTCAAGGAGCTGCACCCCATCCCTGGGGTCCGGCTGCACCTGCAGGGGGCCATCACCAGGAGAGCCGTTGGCAGAAGTGAGAGATGACAGTGAGTGAGGGGCGACTCCATTACCTAGAGGTGTTGGGCGGGCCAGGGGGCTGAGCAGGGGGCCCTAGAGGCTTGGGGGTGCCCCGCTCTGCTCGCCTTTGCAGATAGATTTGCCAGGCGGAGTTGCTGCGAGGTCTGTGGAGGGAGCACAGGGCGCGGGAGGGGGCAGGGAGGGGCTGAGGTGACCGGGTCAGGCTTGCCCGTCCCTGGGTGGGGAACCTGGTCAAGTCCCCTATGCTCCTACTCCCTAGGCTGCTACCCAGTCCCTCTGCAGGGTTACCTGGCGCGGACAGCCTGGGCTGGCCGGGATGCTCCAGCCCCACTGGTGTTAAGGGCAGTGGCAATAGATGAGGTCCTCTGAGGCACCTACGAAGAGAGCAGCCAGGGTAGCCTGTCAGCCCTGTGCAGCACACCATGGACACTCATCCTCCTCCTGCCACTCTGAGGTGCCCTTCCCAGCACTGGTGGATAGGCAAACAGGTGGAAGTGTGGAAGCTGGGAAATGGAGCTGTGGGATTCCTGCCCAGAAAGGCTGCTCCCTAGTGTCCTGGCGATCCAGTTAGGTGCAGATCATCATGCACAGCAGGGCTGCCTTCTCTTTCTTCCCTTCCCACTCAGAACTCTGCCTTGCCTGCCCTGCCTTCGCCGCCCTCTGTTCTGTCTGTTCTCCAATGGTGTCCTTACCTTGGGTGGGGCCTCATTATCTGGCCGGACCCAGGATGGGGGATTCGGGCTAGGGCCAGGCCCTTCAGAGGTGGGATCAGAGTTCTGGCGGATGACAGCTCCTCGGGCACTGGGTGTGGCAGTGGGTGTGGGAACAGCAGGATCCGGGTCGTGGGAGGCTGGGAAGGCAGCCAGGTTTCGAGTGGGCTGGTCCTGCAGGGACTGGGATCGGGGCACAGGTGCGGCATATGGCTTCAGTGGGACCCGGTGTGCCACCAGGCTCTGCAGGGAGAGACCAGGGAGGGTGGGCAGCCTGCTCTGCCACCTGCACCCCCACCTGCGGCTGGGGCTGGGCTGAGAAAGGGCATCGCTTGCCCCTTTCATCAAGGGACTAGCAGGTAAGGAGGGCAGACACACAGCAGCCAGCAGGTGAAGGTATCTGCCCAGGTGGCCTGTGCTTTGTGCATGAAGAACAACATGTCCTGTGCTGTATACATGGAAGGCGGACATGACCTGTGCTGTGTGCATGAAGGAGGGCACGTCTGTGCCTGGGTACATGGACACTGTACCTGTGCTGTGCGCAGGGATCCCTGGGCCCATGTGTTATCTAGGAATGGCAGAGACTCACCTTGTGTGGTCCCTCCTGGGGCTCCACTGGCCTCTGCATGGGAGGAGTTTGAGAAAGGGGTCCTGGGGGACCAGGGGAGGCCTGTGAAATGGGAGGCTCTGGTCCTGTACTGCTTGGCTTGGTCTTGGCCAAGGGAGAGTTCTGCTGCTTGTTCATCCTTGTTCTTTCTTCGACCTGTGATGCAAAGAGGTGTCAAGCAGGCTGATTCCTTGCTTCCTTCATCTCAACATTGACATCCCCACTGCTCCAACTGTTGCAGCACTATGGCCTGTGCCAGGTAATCTTCCCCCTTCCCAGGGCCCAGTGTGGTAGATCAGCTGCTTCTCACAAATTCATTGGCCTCAGGCAGAATGGAGTATTTCTTAGGGCCAAAGGAGACAGTGAGTACCTCTCGGGCCCAGGCTGGCTTGTCAGCAGGATTAATGCCCCGGCCGTAGTGATACAGAGGCTTTCTGTCCCCAGGCAGGATCTGTTGTTGTTGCTGCTGCTGCTTCTGGAGCTGCTGCTGCTGCTGCTGCTGCTGCTGCAGGGACTTGAGGTAGGCATGCTCCTGCTGCAGCTGCCTCTGGAGCCGCTCGGACTGCCGCTGCTCCTCAAGCTGCTTCCGTTTGTATTCCTGGGCCCAAGGGTAGGGAAAGGGAGGGCTCAGCAGGATGTGGCCCTGGGAGTTCGAGCAGGCATGCCCTGTCTTTCCTCCAATTGCCTAGAAGAGCTGCTTCCCCTGGTATCTTGGCGAGTCCCTTCCCCTACAGTGTTCCCATCCCAATCCAGCAAAACAGCCCTGGATGGTATCTTCCTGAGGACGCCAAGGGACCCCGTTACCAGCAGCAGGGCCTGTTCCTGGAGCAGCTGTTGCTGAAGGATCTCGAGCTGTCGCTGCTCCTCCTCTAGCCTGTGACGGATATATTCCTGGGGGGTGGGGTGGGGGCACAGGGCAGGGAGAGTGGGAGAGGCAGCGGAGGAGGGTGCAGCGGCGGCAAAGGAAGGAATCAGCAGGGTGAGGATGAGGGGGAGCCGAGGAAAAATGAGCCCCCCCGGAGTGGGGGGGGGTGAGGAGGTACATATGGGAAGAAGAGGGCAGAGGTGATGAGGAGGAAGCAGGTGGGGACCATGAGGGAGAGGAGTTGGGATGGGTAGAGATGGGGCATGAAGGCACAGAGACAGGAGGAGGACAGGGAGCCAGGGTGGGGGTTGAAGGGTGGGAGAAAACAGAGAGAAAGAGTGAAGCTAGAAAAGATAGGAGGAATCTGGGGGTCAGGGAGCAACAGGGGGGGTGGGCAGGCAGCAGGAGCAGGGGGCAGGGGGCAGGGAAGGACTGGGAGGCGGGTGTGTGCAGTGTGCTCTGGCCTCAGTACCTGCTCCCGCTCTGCCTGCCGCCGTTCCTCCTCCCGACGCAGGGCCTGCATGTCCTCCAGCCGCCTCTGCTGCTCCTTCTCCTGCAGCTTCCGCTGCTCTCGCTCTCGCCGTTGTTGCTGTGGGTCCAATAGGGGTGCTCTTGAGGACTGCACTATATGTTGGGGCAGCACAGCCCTGGGAGGGGGACCCTTCCCATGGGTGGTAGGGGAGTGACTCCTTGCTTCACAGGGATGGTAGAAAGAGAATGGCTCCACCATGTTTCTGCATAATACACCTGCTTCGGAGTCAGCTCCTGTGCACCATGACCGTAAGCAAGGGCTTAGCTTGGGAAGATGGCTCCTCTGGAGAGGCTGTGAGCACGGGGTTAGAGGAGCTGAAAGCAAACTCTGACCTTGGGGTAGGAGGAATTCAGTAACACCTTTCTCTACGCTCGGCCCCACAAAACAACAAATGAAACCTAGGGCCCACCACAGTAAACCCTGGCCTCTCAACTCAACCTTTCTCTGGTGGACACCAGTGACAGCATTTGGCCACTAGAGGACACTACGTGGCCATGCACAGGGAAACAATCTGTGGATTTAAGGAGTGATTTTTGACACACCAGTAATCTTCATGACCAGAATCTGTCTCCCCCAAACAAGCACAGCTGCAGGAGTCCATACACGTGGAGGGACCATTTTGGCAGTGAGCTTGCTGGCCAGCCTTCACATACCTCATTAGGCTCGCCTTTGTTCCTCACTACCTAATGCTATTTACACTAAAAGAAAACCGCAGAAGGTGCTTCTGTAGCAGGCTCTCTTGTAACCTAGTCTTTGTTCAACAGAGATGGGGACCTGCTTTGTGGGGAGGATGCTTCAGCCTGCTACCTCCTGTCTAGACAGAAGTTTAAAGTCCATCTATGAACATGGAAACCAGAAAACTCCTTCAAATTCTTCCATTTGTGTAAGACTGTGTTCTAATGTGCATGACATGGCTGTATGTGTTAGAGAAGGAGTAGGAAGGCAAGGCCCTTGGTCACTCCCCTATTGTCCCCACTGTCCTGTTAGAAGAAGGGATGGGGGTCAAGGCAGGTAGGTGGGCCAGAATGGTCCTACCTCCTCTACTCGCCGCCGTTCCTCCTTCTGCTCCTCTATGCGGCGCTGCCGCTGGTGCAGCAGGTGTTTGATGTGGGCCTCTGGGTCTCTCTGCTGTTGCTGCTGCAGTTGCTGCTGCTGCTTTAGAGCCTCTGAGTTGCTCTTATTCTCCTGCTGGAGTCGGAGGAATTCACGGCGTAGTGTAGACTCCCCAGGCACATTCATGATGGAGCTGAATCAGTGACACAAAGGAGCACAAGGTCAGAACTCGCTAGTGCTCCCTCAGCCCAGGGGAACCTGTCCACTAGGCCAATCTCCTCTGGTCACTCCCAGAAGATCTGTTTTCTCTTTTGCTCTGTCTTTTTTTTTTTTTTTTTTTGAGGCAGTCTGGATAATCATATAGGGCAGGCTGGCCTCAAACTTGGAATCCTGCTGCAGCCTCCTGAGTGGTGAGGAGCGCACAGATGCACACCACCACAGCCAGCTTCCACCCAGCCTTTTGTCCACTTCAGCTCTGAACTCTCCCTCCCCAAGACGAACAGTCCCCAAGCCAATGTCCACTGTTGTCCCCTCCAGCTCCTGCCTGCCTCCTAGCCAAACCCACCTTGGCTCTCCTTCCTCTCCATGGCTGTCATCTTCTTCTTCACTGCCACTGTACTCATACTCCGTTTCCTCTGCAGGGGGTAGACTTCCTCTGTTGATCTGCCCAGTGCCCCAGGCCCCACTCTGGACTAGGGCAATCTTAGATGGCCTGTAAGGCCTGTCTAGGTGGCCCAGCTCCTGGAGCAGTGGGGAGACATCTCAGTTTGGAGCTGGACAGACAGGGGCCATACCCCGAAGCGGGCAGGGTTCAAGATGCTCTGTGCGCTCACACATGCGCGTGAGGGACAAGAAAGGCCATCCTCATTAGGAAAGGTGACTCGGGCTGGATATCTGGGATATTCCTTCTACAGGGAGAGCTGGGGCCTGGGAGAGATGTGCAAAGAAGCCACAGGGGCAGCAGAGAATAGGTGGGGCAGAAGTGTCTCCTAAGTGTTTCTGGCTCCCGTCTGCCCACTGACCTTTCTCACCCCGCTTCTTCCGGGAGCGATCAATGTGGTCCTTGAGTTGGATGCGGACCTGCCGCTCCGTGGGCTGGTCTCGAATGAAGGGAAACTTGAGCAGCTGCTCTGTTGGTGGGCGGCTCAGGTATGTCTTGATCAGACAGGTGTCAATGAAGTCAATGAACTTCTTAGACCTGGAAATGGTGGTGGCTCACACTCGGGCCCCTCTTAAGATGGAGGATCACAGGAAGAAGAGGGGGGAAGCACTTATCCCCAACCACTTTGACTTCCCTTCCTGACTTCCATACCCAATCCCACCACCCCTACACCTCTTCCATGATACAGATCCAAGCCTGAACACAAAGGGACATTGGGTTGGTATGACCTTTCTTCCCACATCTCACCCCTTCAAAGACTTACCATTTCTTGGACTTGAGCCTAGGTGGTGGGTTCCGAGGGATGAGGAAGAGGGCTCGCATGGGATGCATGTCACACAGAGCTGGGACATGGAAAGGACAGTTGGTCCTCTCTGCCACTTGGTGAGCCCAAAGGACCACTCCTCAACATGACCTCCTCCCTCATGCCCAACCTCTCGGTCCCCTTTCTCACATCCTACCCAGGAGAGACTCAGCACTTACGGGGGGCTCCCTCTGCCATTTCGATGGCTGTGATTCCTAGAGACCAAATGTCACTCTGTGGAGGGGAGAGAGGTGGTGACAGGTGAGTATTCCCGACAATTATGCCCAGTGATTTTTCTACCTCCCACACTGCCATCTCTACAACTCCTTCCTGCTCCATACTCTTTCCCAAGACCAGTGTATGCCAAGTCATCTGGGCCTCCCATCCATACCTTCCTTGCCATAAAACATTCCTCTTTTCTTTCTCTGTCATTCATGGGGCTTGAACACTGGGCCTCGGTGCTTTTGTGCTACTACCACTAGAGCCCCAGCTCCACTTCCAGCTTTTTGGGGTTAATTGGACATAAAAGTCTCACAGACTTTCCTGCATAGGCTGGCTTCGAACCACAATCCTTAGAACCAAGCCTCCTAAGTAGCCAGGATAAAAGGAGTTAATCACTAAGTGCCCAATTTTTTAAGATAGCTCAGGCTGGTCTGGAACTTGAGATCCTCGCCTCAGCCTCCCAAATGCTGACATTAGAGGCAGGCAAGCAGGTAGGTCTCGCTGCACTCAATCTCACTGCTAACATGCTAGCACATCTTCATTTTGCTTCCCACTCTGTTTATGCCTGACTTTGAAGCTATCCATTAGACCCCATATGAGTCATACATGTCCTCTGGAAGCCCCTTCGTTCCCCTCTTCCCACTTCATACCCTGTAATCATAGGTGGCATCGGGGTTCTCATCACAGGCAATGACCTCTGGGGCCATCCAGTATGGGGTCCCAATGAAAGTGTTCCGCCTGCCCACAGTCCGGTCCAGCTGAGCACTCACCCCAAAGTCCACTGTGAAATGGGGAGGAGTTAGCATGGGGAACACTGTGTGCTCCATTGTCTCACATCTCAGGATGTGGATGTGCCTGGCCTGGGGCAGCTGAGGCCTGTTTCCATGCAGTCACCTTAGCCCCCCCTTCCACTCCACCTTCATCTGTTCTTCCTGCTTCTTGGGGACCAAGGGAAAGAATCCCTGACAATGGGGATCACACCATCCCATCTCCCGCTGACTGTGGGTAGACACCTGTGTGCTAAGTAGGTGGCAGGTAAGAAGCTCCTTAGATTTTTCAGCAGGAAAGAGGCTTCCCAGGGCAGGGAGCAGGGGAGGGAGTAGGCCTCCCCAGGACACTGGAGAGAGAAAGGGACCCCATTCTGTGTTGGAGGTAAGAGCACCTCAGAAGGAAGCAGCGCACCTAACTTGACCTCGGCATTCTCTGTCAGCAACACATTCTGTCCCTTGATGTCTCGATGGATCACCTTGTGGGCATGGAGATGGGCCAGACCCTGGGACAGCAGAGTAGAGAAAGAGGGGTGGGAAAGAGTAAGGAGGTGAAGGGCTCAGGGAGGGGTAGCCATCAGTCTACACAGAACTTGGGCTCTCTAGACTCCCACCCCACAGTCCTAAGTACAAGCAGAGCAATCCTGAGGAGAGCTTCCTCCAAGTGATGCCTCTGGAGAGGCACCAGCAGTTGCAGGGTTGCAAGTGGAGCCATGGCACAGCCTGGGAACAGTTTTGTCTCTTCCAGCAGCCCGAGTTCCCAAAGCTGGGAGGCTATATCCACCCCACCCCATCAGGCCAGCCACTCCTTCCCGAGGGTAGTCAGTGAGACAAAAGGCAAGGGCCCAAGCTCACCCTGAGAATCTCCCTGCAGATGTAGGCAATACAGTCCTCCTTCAGGGCGTTCCCTTTTGTGTTCTTTACCAAGTCAGTCACTGAACCAGCACCACAGAACTCCATCACCAGCTATGATCCCAGGAAGCATCAGAAGGGAAATTATTTATCAGGCAAGGCCTCTACCCCTGGCCTTCATTCCAGACCCCTGGAGGAGGACCCGAGGTCTTGGGACCAGAACTGGTTTGAGCCAGACGGCAGGGTCTGCATGAACCCTCCAGGACTTTGAGATCAGAAGAGAAAGGAAGGTCAGGCACCAGTGGCTCAAGCTTGTAATCCTAGCTACTTAGGAGGCTGAGTCTGAGGAATGTGGTTCAAATCCATTCTAGGCAGGAAAGTCTGTGAGACTCTTATCTCCAACTAACCACCAGAAAACTGGAAGTGGCACTGTGGTTCAAGTGGTAGAGCACTGGCCTTGAGCTGAGGAGCTCAGGGATAGTGCCTAGGCTCAGAGTTCAAGGAGGGAGGGAGGGAGGAATGGAGGAAAAGGTACATAGCTGGGAAGGAACTGGCAGGATGAAGCTGAGCCTTGGGCAGGAGTCCCAGGACTCCCTCAAACTGCCCATAGTGATGCAGGGTATGTTATTCCCCAAGGAACCCCTGAAACTGTCCACATGGTGTTGCAAGGTGTTTCTTCAAGGAAACCCTAAAACTGCACACAAATAATACAGGGCACACTTTGCTCAAAGAAGGGCTCATGCTTTTATGAGATTCTCACTAGGACTTGACCCTAAAGTAAGCCATTGCTTAGGGCAGGGGTCAGCAAACTGCAGTGGTTCAAGGCTGCTTTTGTTCATCCACCCAACAAGGAATGGTTCTGTAATTTTTCTTTTCTTCCATGCTGGAGAGCAGACTCAGGGCCTCATAAACGCTAAGCAAACATCCTACCACTAAGTTATATCTCCAGTCTGAATTTTATAATTTTTAATGGTTGGGAGAAAATTCTAAAGAATCATATTTCATGACATATGAGAATGATATAGAATTCAATTTTAGTGACCAAAACATGAGTGTCTGGGGATACCGCCATATTTTTCTTTTTTACATATTGTCTACTGCTTTTCTTATGACATCATAGCAGCAGAACTGAGTTGTTGTGATGGAGCAAATATGACCAGCAGAACCAATACTACTTACTATCTGGCCCCCACACAGAAATAGTTTGCCTCTAAAAATGAGGCTAAGAATCTGGTCCTCCATGCCTGCTCTAATAGAGAAGTGCAGGGAATGCACCCAGTGAGTCCCAGAGGAAACCTGGGAAGACTTCTTCTCCCAGTGTCTTCTCCAAAAGCCTCAAACAATGCAGGAAAATGCTAGATGGGACACAGATATTGGCTATGCAATAAAAGGAATTTGCATGTGCCCTAAGTCCTGGGCCTGATCTTGGGCCAAAAAAAGCAGTGGGTGGGGGGAGGGAGGGACAAGAGGATGGTGCCCAATATGTCAAGAGGGTGCCAGGGAACTATGCCTCACTGCTAGTCCTCAGTGATCTCCCACTGCTCACAACCTGGCAATGTGTGTGTGGGGGGTCCCCATTTCAGAAGCCAGAATTGTGGCTCATGCTTATCTGTGCAGGGCACACAGAAGGTGCTTGCTGAATATTTGTCTTGCTGACTTGTGGGCGGGGAGACTTAACATGATCATCAAAGCCCACAGCCACTGTTCTTTCCTTAGGGTGAGGCTTGGAGAATTGTTGGCACCCATGCCCAAGCAAGGGAGGGGAATGACTCTTAGGAATGTTTTGGGTCATAAGGAATTTGGGTAGGCTCTGGTTCAAAACCCACAAGTATACTGCTAGAAGGGGTACAGTGCTGGTATCTGAGTCCTATTGTTTCCCATAGGAATTTTGGTTCTGTGGCTTTCCCAGGATCCTAGAGCTGTGCTCACAAGTAGGAGAAGTTTCCCCAGTCTCTTCTGGCCAACACCAGGTGTCTATGGCCATTTATACAGTGCCTGTCAGACTGGCCAGGGCAAAGGTGATCCGCAAGCAGGAGAGGCTGGGTACACTGAAGGTAGGGCTGCTGGCAGGAAGAGAGGCTGGGGCTCCACACGAGTGCCTGGAGGTGGGAGACGCAGGAGGGGTAGACAGAGGCATTTCTCACCCAGAGCTGGTCATCATTTCCAGGGGGGCTCTTCTTGATGAAGGCCCCATAGTAGGTGGCAATGTTGCGGTGGTGAGAATACTTTTTCAACATGTTGATCTCCTGTTTGATCTCTTCCTCCTCATCCTAGGTGAATGGGAGGAGGCAAGCCCTGAGACCCCAACAGCCCCTGCTGACGCCATCCCCACCCTGCCCAGCTCCACTCCCTACCTCCGTGACATCCATGACCTTGATGGCAGCCAGCTGCCCAGTCTTGACATGCCGACCCTACAGGGCAAAAAGCACAGTGTGGAGGATCTATGCTCAGGGAGTAGAACAATAACGAAGGTTTGATTTTTGGAGGAGTACATCTTACAGCTGTTTTCTGTGCCTTCACTGTGGCTAGACACCTGAGTCTATATGTGGTCATAGGAGTAGGAATCAAGAGAGAATTCTTGAGCCAAGTGGCTAACAGAAAAACTACTTAGACTGCCATTTCCACACTATAAAGATAAGACGTGACAGAGATGAGGGTTTCCCAGAAAAACAAAACAAACAAAAAACCCCAGGAAAGATGAGTGACAGGCAGGGTGTTCTCTGGCACAGACTTCCGTCAGAGTGAAGGTACTTCTGCATCCCAGTGGAGGTGCTGGGAAGGAAGGGGCTTCACCCTTCTCCTCTAAGTAAAACAAAATGCCTACTCCAGACAGAAGGAAGGCCTATTCTTTTTTTTTTTTTTGGTCAGTCGTGGGGCTTGAACTCTGGGCCTGGGCGCTGTCCCTCAGCTCTTCAGTTCAAGGTGAGCGCTCTACCACTTGAGCTACAGCACCACTTCCGGTTTTCTGGTGGTTTATTGGAGATAGGAGTCTTGCAGTCTCTCCTGGTCTCTCCTGCCCAGGCTGGCTTTGAACCTTGATCCTCAGATCTCAGCCTCCTGAGTAGCTAGGATTACAGGTGTGAGCCACCAGCGCCCGGCTAACGAAGGCCTATTCTATGATTAAACCTACTCCTAAAGCTTTTCATTGTTAACAGGGAAAGAAGAATGGCACAACTGAGACTGGGCAAAGAGAGGGGCTGGCTGACAGGTTGACACCCCAGCACCGGTCTTTTATGTGTTGAGATCTGAACTCAGGGTCTCACTTTCACTTAGCTTTCTGCACTTACTGCTGGGGTTCTACCACTTGAACCATGACTCCATTTCTGGCTTTTTGCTGGTTATTTGGAAGTAAGAGTCTCTAGGATTTGTTGAAACCACAATACCCTGAACTTAGCCTCTTAAGTAGGATTATAAGTGTGATAGGATTATAGGTGTGACCCACAGGGACCCAGTTACCATCACTAGTCTTTGTATGTGTATGTGTGCATTGGTACTGGGGCTTGAACTCAGGGCCTGGGCACTGTCTCTGAGCTCTTTTGCTCAAGGTTAGTGCTCTATTACTTGAGCCACGTTTTTTTTTGGTGGTTAATTGGAGATAAAAGTCTCACTGACTTTCTTGCCCAGGCTGGCTTTTAACTCAGATCCTCAGATCTCAGCTTTCTGAGAAGCTAGGATTACAGGCATGAGCCACTGGCACCTGGCCCAAAATCAGTCTAATAGGAAAGTCCCTTTGTTGACTGTGCCCCAGCTATTCCTCATTTTCTCCACCATCCTGGAGAAATTCTTAGCCAGAGCCATCAAAGGCTTAGACAAGAAAGCCCACAGCTTCCTGAGAAGGGCAGAGTGGGGGAAGGCAGCCTTTTGTGCAATAGACACGGGTACTGCCAGCTCCTGGATTAATCTTGTCCTCAGCAGCCATTCATGAATCCCAAGCCCAGGGGGTGTGCTTTACTCTCAATTCCTGTGTGGAGAACAGGAAGTGTATCTTCCTTTTTTCAACTCTCCTTACTTTATCCTGTTATATTATCATAAGTCCTGGCTAAAACTTTTAAAAAAAAAAAAAGGTTCCAAGAACAGAGAAGCACAGCACACAGAGCTGCCTTTCCCATGGAAACAACTAGGCAAGAAGTAGGGATGCCTGTTTCCCAAAGCTTACAAGGGAAGGAGGAAGTGGTTCTAGTAACCCAGAAATGCATTAGACTCATGGAAACAGCAAGCACTATGTCTGGAGATGAAAAAGTAGGTTTCAGGGCTGGGAAGGTGGCTCAGTGGTAGAGCGCTTGCCTTGCATGCCTGAGGCCCTGGGTTCGATTCCTCAGCACCACATAAGCAAAAAGAAAAAAGCTGGAAGTGGCGCTGTGGTTCAAGTGGTAGAGCGCTAGCCTTGAGCTGAAGAGCTGAGGGACAGCGCCCAGGCCCAGAGTTCAGGACCCACAACTGGACCCCCCCCCAAAAAAAAAAAAGAAAAAGAAGGTTTCACTCTGTGTTCTAGAGGGTCCACCAGTGCAGGGTAGCACCACCTTGAACACCTGCTCCCTGCTGTGTCTGCTCCCCTCCCCAATTCAAGTGTGGGCAGTTGGCAGGTCATGTGAATGGGCTGCCTGGCTGGCCAGGCTAACAGCTGCAGTCAATGGCTTCACACACTGCTTGTGTGAAGATAGACACCCTCAAAAGCAGGTCTGTGCTCTGGCTGCAGCTCTGTTGGGAGGTAGCTGCAGGAGGTCAAGAAAGCAGCGTCTTCTCTGCAGAAGGCCACCTGTCAAACCTGGGAAGGAACCAAGCCCATATCTCTGGCCTGAATTCCCAGGTGAACTCTGACACTCACATCACCACACTCTCCCCACTGCCCTCTTGGCTCTTCCTGTTTCCAGTCTCACAGCTGCCAGCTCCAGTCCTGTCCTGTCCTGCCACACCCAGAACCAGTTCTGTATCAGAGGGAGAAACTAGCCAATGACAACTCCCCCCCCCTCCCCCCGCAGGCCTGCTGCTGTTCTGTTTTCCTCTCAGGTCCTTTCTTTTCCTAGGTCCCCCTATGCTCTGTAGGTCTCTTGTAGCTCCCCTCAAATCTTCAGGCCCAGAACTATTCTCCCACTCCTCTCAAGAAAGCCCACAGTTGTTCCAGGTCACACTTCTGCACCATGAGTGTCTCACCTTGTACACCTGTCCGTAGGTTCCATTGCCAACCACCTCCACCAGCTCAAAGATTCCAGCTGGGTCCTGGGGTAAGGGGACGGGAAGAAGACAGAAAGGACAGATGTCAGAACTCCAAAAAGGATTTGATGCTAGAAGGGAGGAGAGCACTCATTCGGACTGCACTTTGGGAGCAGGACCTATTTGGGGGCCTATGGGGGACCCTCTTACTGATGGTGGAAGGAATGGGAGAAAGGGAAGAGTTCAAAGGAGAGAAGATGAATGTCAGAGTCCCGATGGCTTTTCAAGGCAGACTCCCGATTTCTAACTTGCTGACAATCTCTGTTCTATCCTTGCCTGCAAAATAAGGGTGCCTGAGGACACACCTCGGGTCTGGTGAGGACTTTAAATGAAGTAATGCCAAGATGGAACCTGGCACAGCGTGTATGTGCGCAATAAAAGTTAATTGTCATTGTTCTTATTTTATTTTAAAGACAGGATGATCACAGGAGAGGCAGCAAGGAGCCACCTCCTTTAGTCCTTCCCTCCCCTTCTGAGTCCTTCCAAAATGAGGGCTTCTGGCCAGATGCTGGGTCATCTAGGAGCAGGTAAAGGAAAGAAGGGAGAGCAGGTGACTTGGGAAAGGGCCCTTTGATGGGTCAGATGAACAGGGAGAGCTCTGCATCCCCTTTCTTCTGAGCCTAGCAGTGCCAGGAGGAGGGCCTAGGGCTGAACAAAGCCTCTAAAGAGGCCTATCCTTGTGCGGGCCAGAGCTACACAGCTGCCAGCCTGTCCCGAGGCTCCCCACACCCCCATGGCAGAACTGCTTTTTTGAAAGAGAGAAACTGGAAGGTAGGGCTACGAGCTAGAGAAATTGGTCCCTGTACCATCCTGCTCTGCAGCTCCTGGGGGAGGAGGCAGGGAGGAAGGCAGCCACTGAGGAATGAACCGTGTAGAGATCAGGTAACAGTATGAAATCTAAACCTCTCTCATTGTTTTTGAAAAACAAGATAGTATTTCTAAAATTAAAAAACAAAAAAACACAACGGAAGAGACCCACACACAAGCCCCAAATGCCTTCATTCACTAGAATAATCAGCACACAGGACAGGACTTGGTCATGGCAGAGACCAGCAGGCACCAGCCTAAGGCTTTCCAAGAATGTCTTCACTGAACTCACTGTCCACTTTGTCAGAGGAACTGAAGGGGAGGAATGGACGAACCCTGGCTCCCTCAGCAGCTAGACTAAAGCATGTATAAGTGCATTTAAAAAAATTGATTTATTTTTGTGCTGGTAGTGGGGCTTGAACTCAGGGCCTTAGCTTTTTCCACTCAAGGCTGGTGCTCTACCATTCTGGCTTTTTTTCTTTTTGCTTATGTGGTGCTGGGGAATCGAACCCAGGGCCTCAGGCATGCAAGGCAAGCGCTCTACCACTGAGCCACCATCCCAGCCCTACTTCTGGCTTTTTGGTGGTTAACTTTACCTCCCCATGCTCACTTTAAACCGTGATCCTCAGATCTCAGCTCCTTGAATAGCTAGAATTATAGGGCACGTGCCTGGCTATAAATGTGTTTTGTCAATTCCCCAGAGAGAGGGAAGCAGTCCTTGCTCAAGAAATCTGTCTAGCACTAATGGCTGGGACTTGATAGCCCAAGAGTACCTGGACAGACTAATCCAGAAAGCATCAGGCAGAACTCCAAGGGCCTTCTACATGCTCTTATAGGTCCTGGTGACCAAGCACTGTGACACACAACTGTAACTGCAGCTACATAGGAAGTGTAGGCAGTGGTGTGACAGCTGAGGGTGACTGGGTTAAAAAGCAAAAAGGGCTGCAGACATGGCTTAAATGGTAGACCTGCCTAGCAAGCATAAGGCTCTGAGTTCAAAGCCCACTACCAACAACAAGAACAAAAATGCACCTCATGGTCTGTACGTAGTCAATTATTTTGTTCCACCTAAGTTACTGAAAATCTTTACTAGATCTAAAAAGTCAACGGGGGCTGGGATGTGGCATAGTGGTAGAGTGCTTCCCTAGCATACATGAAGCCCTGGGTTCAATTCCTCAGCACCACATAAACAGAAAAAGCTGTAAGTGGCACTGTGGCTTAAGTGGTAGAGTGCTAGCCTTGAGCATAGAGAGGTTCAGGGACAGTGCCCAGGGCCCTGAGTTCAAGCCCCAGGACTGGCCAAAAAAAAAGAAAGGAAGTTAAAAAAAAAAAGGCAATGTGGGGGGGTGGGTGAGGAGGAGGTGCTGTGAATGAGAGGTTTGTCTGAACCTGAAAGCTGCCAGGATTTGGAAAGAAGTTATCTATCTGAAGTTCTAGGCATTAAGGTTTGGCTGGAAGAGAACATAGTTCCTTAAAAATCTCCCCAAGAGAGGACCTCAACATTCTGAGATCTTGTAACACTCACTGTTGGGAAGTCCTTTCTTGAATCTAATTAGTTCTTTTTTCAGTGGAGTGAGACAGGAATAAGGACTCACGGTTGTTATTTTCAGAATGCTCCAAATCTAGGAAAATCTGATGGGACTGTTAAAGGCATAGTGACATTCTACCATTGCCATAAATCACCACCAATAACTGTGTGCGTGTGCGCGCGCGCGCACACACACACACACGTGCACATACTGGTACTGGGGCTTGAATGCAAGGCAAGTACTCTCTCTCTTAACATTTTTGCTCTAGGCTGGCATTCTCTACCACTTCAACCATAGCTTTACTTCTGGCTTTTTGCTGGTTAATTGGAGATAAAGAGTCTCACAGACTTTGCTGCCCTGGCTGGCTTAGAATTATGATCCTCAGATTTCATCCTCCAGAGTAGCTAGGATCACAGGTATAAGCCACTGGCTGGCTCCCTGGCCACAAAACCTTTTTTTGTCGGCCATGGGGCTTGAACTCTGGGCCTGGGCGCTGTCCCTCAGCTCCTTAGCTCAAGGCTAGTGCTCTACCACTTGAGCCACAGTGCCACTTCTGGTTTTTTCTGTTTATGTGGTGCTGAGGAATTGAATCCAGGGCCTCATGCATGCAAGGCAAGTACTCTACCACTGAGCCACCTTCCCAGCCCCCCCACAATGCATTTTAATGTTACAATTTGTACACACACACACACACACACAGTCCTGGAGCTTGAGCACAGGGCCTGTCCGTGAGTTTTTTCACTCAACACTTGTGAGCCACAGCTGCACTTCTGGCTTAATTTTTAGCCATTAATTGGAGATAAGAGTCTCTTCCTGCCTTGACTAACTTTAAACCTTGATCTTCGGATTTCAGTCTCCAGTGTAGCAAGTATAGTCATGAGCCACTAGCACCTGGCTTAATAATCTCTGTAAGCTGGATCACTGAGTTCAGATATTAATATCCAATGAGTTTCAACTCTGCTTCCTGACCACACCTCCTGGAGATAGAAATCACCAGCTTCTTGTATGCCCCCAGTCCCAAAGATGTTCCTCAAAGGCTGAGCCCACTCTGCTTTTTCAACAGCAGCTCTTTTTCTTTTTCTTTTTTTTGGTCAGTTGTGGGGCCTGAACTCTGGGCCTGGGCACTGTCCCTCAGCTCTTCAGCTCAAGGCTAGTGCTCTACCACTTGAGCCACAGCACCACTTCCGGTTTTCTAGTGGTTTATTGGAGATAAAGGACTTTTCCTGCTCGGGCTGGCTTTGAAGCATGATCCTCAGATCTCAGCATCCTGAGTAGCTAGGATTACAGGCGTGAACAGCTCTTTTTCTTCCCTCTACAATTCCATCTAGGTTCCATGCCTCCTCACTCCAAGCCACAGCCATCCTGCCCTTTTTCCTCCAGGTCTCTGCTTTACTTTCAATTCCTGGGCTGCCAGTCAGGCCTGTCCTCTGCCCTTCCTCCCAGAGCTCCTTGCTGCCTCCAGTGACAGGTTTAACACATGTGCTCCTGTCCCAGCATTGACAAGACTCCTACCTGCTTCACAAGGAAAGGCCCGCTTGAGCCTGGTATTTACAGTTGCCCCATTATTATCCATCTTGCATTAGTATCTGTTTGCCCTACACTGGGCTGGGCCCTAATCCAGAAAAATCAATAAGAAAGCCTATCTTATTTCACACAGGGGACTAAACAACAGGACCAAGCATACACGAGAACTATTACCTCAGCATTTCAGACACACAGGCTACACAGCACAGAGCAGTGGAAAGCATGAAAGCTGCTGGAAATGCCCTTGGTGTGGGAAAACACTGGCAAACAGCTTCCAGTGAGAACCTGGACACCAGCCATGGGTCCCAGAGCAAGTGCTTGCTTGGGGCCTCATTTCTTCTCACAAACTGCGAGGGAACTGCATTGGGTAGACAGTCTGCTCCTTAGCTGGGCGCCGGTGGCTCACGCCTGTAATCCTGGCTACTGAGGAGGCTGAGATCTGAGGATCATGGCTCAAAGCCAGAGGGGCAAGGAAAGTCCGTGAGACTCTTATCTCCAATAAACCACCAGAAAACCGGAAGTGGCGCTGTGGCTTAAGCGGTAGAGTGCTAGCCTTGAGCTGAAGAGTGCAGGGACAGTGCCCAAGCCCAGAGTTCAAGCCCTATGACCAACAAAAAAAAAGAAAGAAAGAAAGTCTGCTCCTTGGCTTTAGGGAAGAGAATGGAAGTCTAGGTAAGGAAGTTTCCAGCAGGTCCCTGGAGGAGACCGGGTTGGAGGGCTTAGGAAACTGGGTAAGTTTCCAGTTGGTGACAGGAGCTGGAGAGTGGCAAAGGCTGTGTCTTGCTGAGGGGCAGCATTTTGGGTTTGGATGCTAAGTTTGGGATGTTAGGGGAGGTGTGGGAGGCCACATCTATCAAGCAATTAGAAACAGAATCTGGAAATGAAGATGCAGAGGCCCTGGTGAATGTGAAAAGAAGATGGATTACAGGAATGGGCAGCAGGAATGGCTGCATGCTGCACAGCAGATTGAACAGACTCTGAGCCTTTCTGTGTGGATGACAGGCTGGCAGCAGAGCAGTCAGACACCAAACTTTAACCTAGGGACCCTTCCTGGAACACAGCAGACAGCAGGGCAGGAGGAGACAGCAGATGAGGAAGTATGGGCTGGAAGAAGTGTCCCCTCTGGAGAATCTAAGTTTGAGAGGA